TCCGTTTTGTGTAAAGGATCAACGTCTTTAATTAACTCATATATTTCATCTTCTTTGTCTGGCCCAACGTCAATAGGATCTTCTTCAAACAATGAATAACCCCAATCTAAATCATTTTGATTTGTTTCTTCGTTATCTAGATTTTGAAGAGGTATTTCCTCTGGATTAAATCCTTCAGGCATTTTACTTTAACTTTAAAATAAACGATTTAAAAACAACTTTAAACGATGGGCAAACTCACGGGTAATATGCCTTGTGCCACTAGCCAACCCTGGGTAGCTAACGCACCGCTTGACACCGCGGTCAATTTTAACGCGTCTTTGGCAGATAATTTATTTAGGTCTGGTGGTTTGATTTTAGATAGCTTACTCGATAGCATAGCCTAACCCATAGAAATCGCTGAGACTACAGCGCCGTGGTAAACAGTATTGGTGATTTCATTTACGTCGATTGATTTAAGCGTTACTCATTTTTAATATAAGGTGTTTTTAAATTTATTCCATATCTAAAATTTCGGGTCGCTCATTACCCTCGCTTCTGAAAGGTGGTGGTGGTTCAACTTTCATAGGCGTGCACTTATTTTTCCAAATTAAATATACCGCGAGCGCTCCAATGGCTAATCCACCTAATATTAAATTTTTATTCTCCGAAACCGTTTTGTAAATTTTATTTTTCGAGCTCGGTTCACTTGCTTCACCTAATTTCATTTTAGCTAACTGCTGCTTCATCTTATTATGATCTGCTAATTTCTTACCTTGTTCCACTCGTCTCGGATTTTTATCTTTAGTCACCGTTTGGATTTGGGTCTTTACCGGGCTGTTGGCCAGGTTTGGGCTCACTTCATTCGCTTCTGTTGACATCCTCTTTTAATATAAGAGAACTTTTGTTGAACTCTAAATGTTTAATGGTAATCAACGCAGCTGCCAATGGTGATAAGCATATGCTGTACTTGTAGCAGATCTCGCTTAGTAGGTGACCCATCATTTGACTAATGATCGGATCGTCGTTAAGGTCTTTTGTCAAGTCTTGTTCAGACGTTAAATTAACGTTGAAACCTAAAATATCAACGGGCGTTGCAATTCCCAAAAGACGCACATGCAAGCTGCAAATCGCGTTACCGAGGGTTTTCACGATATCTTTACCGAATTTAACTTTGTACAGATTGAATAGCTTTTCTTGGTCTTTGGGGCTAAGTGACTCGATGTCTTTTACAGAGTAATCTTTACCCAGGTATTTTTTAGATTCACCTGATGCAGCTATCGAGCAAAGGCGACCCTTGACGTTAAATTTGGATTCAGTTGGTTCCGTTTTTGAATTAGCGAGGATGCTTTTGATGTCGTCCATTTTAATTTATGGTTTTTAATATGGTTAAATGTTTGCTTAAGCTGTAGATATTTATAGGTATAAGAACTTAAATTGACTGCTATAGTTATTTGAATAACTAGTTGAATGTATTCAAGCAGAGCTATCATCTTAATTATAAGTAAAATAAAAAAAGCTTAAGCACAACTGTAATAGCCATGCTCAAGCGAGGAATAAGTAATCAATAAGTAATCAATAACTAGCATAAAAGTCTGTTGACTCAACTCCCGCTTGACTCAACCCAAGGGCCACCTTCTTGAGCAAGACATGATCCATGTTCTCAGACTCCCATCGTCGGACCCTACGCCTGCAGAGCAAGGAAACACTTTGTTCAAGCATCACCCTTCACGCATTGAGTCAGCTGAGCCGTTTTCCTGGAGATCCCCCAGATCGTTCCTGCGTAGAGATGATGAACGTTCTTGCGAAGGCCAAGTGCCGGTGTACAACTCCTCCGAGGCTTGTCTTACTACCGCTCTGCCCAGGAGGACGTCTCTCGCTTCCTGTCAACTCTGGATATCCCTGACTCTGTCAGAGACAAGATTTTGCCCGATTCCAGCAAACGCAACACTTCTTGGGATAAGGACAAGGCCAACTTTGACTCAGTTCTCCATCGCCTTCGTATGGCTTCTGGCTTCGGTCTCTAATGTTCAGCTTTTCTTGGAATATATTGTCTGGGCCTGCAAGGAGGACTCTCCGGTCTTTGGTGAGTTTGCGGCCGATGCCCTGCGAGGGCTTGATGAGGGACTTAACTCTGTCTTTGAACAGTGCACCCACATTTTGCTTCTGACCACTTTCAGCTACAGAGCCAATGCCGTGGACGCCATGCACATTCCCTACTAGTCGGTCAAGCACAAACTGCTTGATCTGCTTTTTCTCAGAGACAACTTCGACTTCGGCGGGAAATTTACCGAGGTCCAAGAGTCGGAGGTGAAGCGTATGGAGACCACCAAGAAAATCTCACTTCATGAACCCGTTGCTCCTTCACGCCAGCAGCCACTGCTGCCACCGAGATGACAGGCAAATCCACCCCCCTTGTTAGGCTGTTCCTTTAGTTGCCTGCTCCGGTCAGCAACTCAGCCATCAGACCCCAGTTGATTTTTTTTCCCAGCCGCTCCTTAAAGACTCCAGCCACGTCTCGCTGGCCGAGGGTTCACACATCATGCCCCCGGTCCCTTCAGGTGGCAGCACCGGTGACTACTCCTCTTTGCCTTCATCGTCCATCAATCCTGAACCTGTTGGCAGTCGGCCTTCCTTTCTGATCTCCAAGTTCTGACGTGACTGTGACAATGGACAAGTTGCTATTCAGATGGGAGCCTCCCTTCCTCCACTCCACGCCTCCGCTGTCTGGGTACCGTACTGGTTTGTTCGCCTATCGAGGCAAACACATCAACATGCTGGAACTTCAAGTGGCATTCAAAACTTTTACTTCCGACAGCATTTAATAGGCCCTTCCATTCGAATCCAGAGCAACAACTTTACAGCAGTGGCGTACATCATCCACCAGGGTGGCGCTTGCTCTCCTCAACTCTGCGTCCTTGCATGGCAGCTCTTCGTGTGGGCTAGCGATTAAGGGATCACTTTCCAGGCAGTCCACATAGCAGGAACTAGCAACAGCATAGCAGATGCACTCTCTCAGGGCACTGTCCATCTGACAGAGTGGACTCTTCATCCAAACATAGTCAAACAGATTTTTGTGGAAATCGAGTGTCCTCATATCAGCCTTTTCGCATCTGCTGACAGTACCCATCTTCTGATGTTCTGCTCCAGGTACCGTCAACTGCGGGCATGGGTGACGGACGCCATACAGGTCGACTAATCGGGCCTGTCCTCCAGTCTCCCTCATCCAGCAGATCCTGTCCAAGATACAACAGCAGCCATGTCAGACCCTCCTGTCCTCGCCTGTTGTGGTTTCCAAGACTGACAAGACTCCTGATACGATGGCCGCTGGTCCTTCCAGTCAGGGAGGACTTCCTCTATCAACCAAAGTCAGGGATCCTCCACCCAGCACCGGAGGGTCTTCACTTGAGGTGCTGGACGTTGTCCAACGATCCTTTAGGGCTTCGGACCTTTCTGTAGAAGCTGCGTCCATGGTGGGGTGATGAATAGCTTGACTTGGCAGTTTCTCTTGGTGAGTGCTTGCTCCTGCGATGCGCGCATTTTGTTCCTTTCTGTAACTACACTCCCTTCCCCGACCCACCTCCAGGATTTGATGCCACTTTGCATATATGTAGGCTGGGCAGAGGTACATGTATGTAAATGCAGGAGACTCCTCCCCCACGTGGAGTGGTCAGGTCTCCTAGTGATAATTGCCCCTGCCCATCCGCTCCTGCCTATCCTTCCCCACTTTGGCTCCGTTGATTTTCACCACTTCAAAAAGAACAACGAACATGGCAGCGGGACCGCAGTGCATTGTGCAGGGTCAAAAGGCAGCATGCATAATCATGTCTTTTCAGCAAATAGTAATATGCACATGGGAAATTTGCATATATGTTGGCTGGATAGGGGTAAGTATCACTAGGAGACCTGACCCACTCCACGTGGGAAAGGATTTTGTCAGTTTCCCACAACATCACTGCAACAGTGTTCGGGAAAACAGGCTTGTACTGTTCAACATCCTCAAGAATGCTCACATCTTTTGAGGCATTTCTTTCACTTTTTCTTGAGAGAGGGCCCAGGTCATCAGTTGTCAGTGATAAATACTCTGTTCTTTGCGCTTGTACTTTCATGTTTGTCCAAAGAGATGTACATGTATATGCAGAAGTGTTTCAGGAATTTTGTTAACTCCACATGCGTACATATTCATATACAAACAATTTATGAAACAGTTCCCTGCTTTTCCATAGTCTGTATCATATAAAAACTCAGCAAAACCCTGTTAGTAAGGATGAAGCTCTTTTATGGGGTTTCTAGCCCTGCTTTGGTGGCCTTGGTCAGTAGAAAAAGAAAACAGTAAAAGACAATAAAATAAAAGTGATTATATGAGTATTATATTACATTGTTTTGCTTACTATGATACATCAAGGTAGATTCAATAAAAACAATCTACCTTTGGTATTTCAAGTTTGATTGGGCTTTGAATGACTTCTGTAAAGAAGTTTTACATGGATGCCTCTTTAGTCAACATTTAAGTTTTGACTGAACCTGTAAACAAGTACTTTTAAACAAAGCATAGAAGTCAACTCCATTCCAGGGAAGTTATTTGTTTTGTCTTTACAGGTGAAGGTGTACAAATAGCTTATACCTATGCTTAATTTAGTATGGGCTAAATGATGTGACAGACATACTAAGCCTACTTTCAAGTATACCGTTCTACTCAGTTTTGTTAAAAAGAATTACTTAATCTGTTTCCCCTATGAATCCTCTTTTCGTAAGAAAACATCACAGAAAAAAGTTACTTTTGCTTCAAATAAATGAACAGCCCAACTTCTCCATGTGTTCTGGAAAAAGGCTAATCGAAGATTGCATATACACTGTATATGTAGCTTAACTTGATTAAGCTACATTAAGTAATAAACTGTAATCCAACTTTCCTTTTACAAGTGACTTTAAAAAATAAGCCTACGGAGCAGATCAATTTTAGGTCTATCATTTCTCTTGTAATGCATATGTGGCTCACACTTTTCACTCTTGCCTGACAGAAATGGCGTGATGGTCGTGGCGCTCACCAAAACATCATCCCAGCATCCACAGGTGCAGCCAAGGCTGTTGGTAAAGTCATCCCTAAGCTTCAGGGGTAAGTTCTTTGTCGTAGAATTTCCATTTCAACTTCCTGTTAGAGGGATCAATTTTGGTTGAGTGCTGCATAGAAGCAGGCCATGTTAGCATGACCAGATTATAATTTTTAAGCACGGCTTTTAAACCTGTGCTGAAAATATTAGAAAACTGTGCTCCTGTAATGTGGAGTTTCACATGCATAATTTGATATTTATTCTATGAAGAAGGAAAATTGCTTGAACTTTGAAGTTTTCTTCTTCTTGAGGACCATTAGGACATTAAAGACGTAATGCAGTCAAAAATCAATTTTATTTAACCTCAGTTCCTGCAGGTGTGGTACACCTTTTGTGTGGTATTAAATTGTATGTACGTGGACAACCAAAGAGCAGAAACAGTCCTTGTCTGTCATCAGATATCAGCAACACACACTGGTTCCTTCCACGACAAATAGTGCAAAGGACATGGGAGTGCTGGGAGCCTGTGACCCCTTAGCAATATGAGGTACACTGGCGGCAGAAGCAGAGGGGTCACAGCCCCCCTCCCACTTTTTTACTTTTGGCAGGTCTCCTAATGGCTGATTTATGTCCACCACTATCCCCCCACCTTGAAAATTGTTCCGCTGACATTGGCGAAGTAGTTACTTTAACCACTGTGTAAACACACACTTTTCCTTATTTGTTCCACGGGGACATGTACGCTCATTTAAGAATTCTCTTTTTATTTCTGCGGTTGATGTATTAACGACTGCTACAAAATGGGCCCACCCTCAACCAACAGTAAAACGGAAATGCCTTTCTGAAATGATTAAAATTGAATCGGGTGCCCACATGATACACAAAGGAGTTAAGGGGATAAAAGACCTCTTTTGTTTGGATAAGCCAATTTGCTAGAAAGCACACTTACAAACGAGAGCTAATGTTCTTCAGGAAGTACAGATACATGTACATGTATATCATCCGTGAGCAGCTTTGGAAATGTTGAAGGTGCACACAAGGTGACTAGCAGTAAGTCTGGCTTAAACATCATCATATCTCCTGCCTAAATGTATGCAAATCGTGTATAGTCTTGTTCCGGAAATGGGCTTTTAATGGAATTCTCTACATACTAGAGATCAGAGTTGTTGAGACATCACAAGGCCAGACAAAGACCATGTGCAAGACCAGTCACAAGTAACAGGGTGAACAGTGACAAAGGAATGATTTTGTCGCAGTTCATTTGACTTGAATTCAAACTGAACGCCTTGAGTTGGTCTTGTGTGGCCTTGTGAAGGTCTTCAGTGTCTTGACTACAGCACTGTTAGAGATACGGACCAAATTCAATTGTTCCATTGCTGAACAGTTGAGTGTCGGGGACACCGCAGTAATAGTGTCAGTGAATCAGTCTATTATGTTTGATCTAAACTGAGTGACCTCCATATGCCACCATGTGACCACTTGCCAAATTCTGTGTAAACCGTTCTCGAAGCTTGCTGCAGAAATGAAAACGATCAAGTTTTACATCTGGACAACAAATACTAGAACGTTTTGAAAAAAAAAAAGACCTGCAGTAACCATTAGGTAACCATCGGCCTAATTCTGTTAACCACCCACATGGTGTTTCCTGTGAAGATACAGTACAACCACCCTAATTTGAGATTGAGTCATGACTGAGCACTAGGTGACCCTTGACTCTGTATGCTTTTCATTTAGAACAGGAATTGTGTCAAGGACGATTAGGTCCAAATGTGGCTGAAATTAGCAAGGAAGGTGGCAGATACATGCACATGTAACTGATACCAAAAGTAGCGAGTATTCAACCATGCAATGAAAGAAAATGATCCTTGATGACCATAAGGTGACCAGTGGCCAAATTCTGTGAACATCCAATCTTAAGGCTTGTTCCAAAGCAGTAAGTAATCAATTTTGACAGTAGTTGAACCAAGAAGCAATTTGTTATTTTGAAGAAAATGACCACTAGTAACCACTACATGTAGGTGACCACTGGCCAAATTCTATTAACACATTTTATGACACTAGGTCCAGAGATATAATTGACCAAGTTTGACAATAATTGGACCAACATTGTGGAAGAAGGAATTTGTAATTTCAAAGAAAGTGACCACTATGTGACCATGGCCAAACATGCTAGTCAGTTCACATGAAACTCCAGCCAAGCTAGATACTCTCCAAATTTTGTTGAAATCATTGAATGAATTTGGCAGATAATGATTTTTTGTGAGCGTTTGCCGAAGAAAGAAAACTAGAACTCCATGCATTTGTCTCATAGACACAACAAAAAGGCTTTTCGTATTTTAAGGTTTCAAACAAACAACTGTCAAAGACACTCGGGTTAATAAACTTAAAAAGAAGTCTTCCCTGTTCCCGTTGCTGCAAGCTACGGCTTGGTCTATTGTCTCCATGCATTTCTAATGGACTGAGTACCAAGACCTAGCTCTAGACAAGAGATTAGGATGCAGCCTAAATCAGGCACAATTGATGGGCCGTCAAGCGCTTTGTACATGTATCACGTGACCCAGCACGAAAACTCTGACTGGCCCACACGCAGCGTTTTACGGTAACAGCCCGATCAAGCAAAGCAAATGAATGAATTCGCAAGACGTAGACACAGGTACCGGTACATAACTTCATTGGTTTATTGTTTATTAATGTACCACATAAAACGTGTTTAATGATGATGTTTGAGGAAAACTTGCACAGTAGGGATAGCCTAAAATCCACTTCGTGTTCGACTCTGCTTGCAGGCCAACAGCCGTAAGCCAGTAAGGTTACATGTGCACTGAAGCGTGTAACTTTCAAAAATTCGAATGTCATATAACTCAAACTTTTGGTCCATTCCAATGAGCTTCAACTTATCGACATTTTACTGTATTTCCTGAAGTACATGTTCTATCAGGTTGAAACTTTGCAGATAACTTAAAAGAAGGGTTTTATATACGAAAAATGACTTGATGTCATGATGCCGTAGTTGTTCAAATGTACAAAAGAATGTGAAAAAGCCCTCTGTTCTGTTGGCAAACAGACAGATAAGCTCTCGTTTTTTCTTCTTTTTCTTCTTCTGCTCAAAAGCCCATTTGTTTTGTACACGTTTTTTGTCGCTGCAACTTTAATTTTTAAGCAATTTTGGATCTTCATCAAATTTATACCAGTGAGGAGCCTTTATACACAGATGGTCCGAGAAATATTACGTCATTATGACGTCGTCAAGTGATTTATTATTGATTTTCTAATATTTATTTTAGCCCATTGATTTTGTACATGTTTTCGAGACACTATTTTCGTACCTTGTTAAACATTGATCGTCGTCAAACTTACAGCAAGCACTAACTATAAAACGAAGATAATTGTGAATTTTTTACGTCATGGTGACTTCAAGTGATTTATTATTAAATTTTGAATATTTGAATATTCTGTTAAATGTATAAAAATCCATATAAAATCAACCGTAGCCTCCCGCAATATCCTGTTTGCAGCAAGTGCCAGGTTAAAATGTGGTCTTGAATTTATCTCATGTGGGTCAAATCACGTGACCCTTCCTTCCGGTCGAAACCGGAAGTGGTCTTATTGTTCACAAGTGGTAATAGGTATGAAGTTGTTTTCAACGTTGTAAGTCTGTTTGGGTATAGTATTCTTCAAATCATCCACTGATGATGTCACCTTATTGTCGAGTGCCCTCTAGTGACCACACACATATATAACGAATCGGTACTTAAAACACCGTCCCTTTTTAAAAAAATTCTTTCACATAAATAACTTTTATTTGACATCAAATGGGCAGATAATTTATAATAGTTATTAAGTTTAGGGGGTTTTGTGACATTAAAACCCTTTATGCTGGCCCCTAGTGTTGTTTGTGGTTTGCCATTGAATGTCAGCATTGCAGCTGCTTTTTGATGACGTCATTGCCTTCTGCAATGAGTACCAAGGTATTAGTAAATACTGCGGTATTTTTTCATAGATACCGCAGTATCGAAAAAGGCAATACCGCCCAAGCCTAGTTTCTAGTCAGCAAGATCTTGGAATTTTTGTAGACAACAGGTTAAATTTTGTATCTCTTGTTGATTTTATTGTAAAGAAGGCGAATCGTATTATTGGCTTGGTGTGGCGAGACTTCCGACATTGTAAAAGTGAATATGTACTTCATATAATGTACTGCTTCCTCATCAGATCCCAAGTGGAAATATTGCACAGTAGTATTTAATTCTATTTCTCACTCACAATCTGAGAGACTGGAAAGACTGCAGTGGCATTATTTAATTATATATAACGAGTTTGCCCTTACCCAACGAATATTAATAAGCACTGTATGCTCAGTGCTTGTCCGAGAGCTTGCGAAAAAACCTCACAAGCTTACTCGGGTGGGACTCAATCCCACGACCTCCTGCTTACTAGTGCAGATGTCTTAACCAC